TGTTTGATTATAGGCGCCGGGAACTGATCTGGACCGTCGCCCGCGTGAAAAGCGAGCCGTGCTAAGCCGGTTAGTGTTCCTTTTCCTACTTACCTCGGATCTTTCGGTGGAGTAGTCGGGGATGTTGACGGGCTTCTCCGTCACCTGAGCGGCCATGACATACGCTGTTATCTGTCGGCCAGGCAGCCCAGACACGTCCGCGGACCGGGCATCAGCGTCGGGCGCTCTTGTAAGTGTCAACAATCCCTACTAGTGGTCCGCGTCAAAATGGTCCAGTAGCAGCAACAGCCTTGGCAGGCCAGCAGGAAGCGCTGCTGCGGGGTTTCAAATGGTGATGGGGCCCCTGATTGGGCTAATCCTGCAGCTTAAGTGCTCGTGCTCCAGAAAGGCTGTCTGCAACTTTATTTAGATACGGTGAATGGGGGGATGATGCTATCTTCTCCCTTCCCCTCCCCTCTTGTCCCCTCCGTTCGGACTGGAGTGCTCCCAACTTGCTTTCCCAGATCTGCCTGGCCGGAATCGCGTCGATTGGAGGGAACCAGTCGTGATGTCACATGGAGGGGAAAGTCTTGCATGAAACCTTCTCCCATCCTTCCCTTCCCGCACCCTCCGGTATCTGCATGTCACCACTGTAACTGTATGTGCGTATGTATGCGCTGGCACACCACCCACACCCACACCCACACGGTCGGAGGGGAAATACTCCTGGTTCGTGATGAGTCCTGCAGATGACCCGGCTGGCATTGTTTATCACTTTCCGTTCTGGCTTCTGCTGTAAACAATAACAATGGTGGTGAACCGTGGAACCCCGGAGTCTCCCCTCCCCCAACGACGCGACCGGCAGAGCGTGGTCCCGTGACTTGTCCCCGATGCGACCATCCCCCCCGTACCCAGTAATAACTCCATGACATCACCGAGATTTCTCCCTTCTTTGTCCATCGTTGCTCGCCTTGCTTGTCCCTTTCTTGTCGCCCTTCCTTGCTCCCCCCTTCCCAACCCTTCTCCATGGCTCTCTATTCTGGTCTATAACAACTGATTCGGGCCTGTCCCAAATTTGTGTCAAGGCGAGATTCCCCTTTCACCTCTTTGATGCCTTATTTTGTCCATCCCACCTGCGATGGTGCTGGGACCCGTAACTAGTGAGTCTAAGATACGATCGGGGAAGCGATCTGCAGAACTATCGCCTAGTGACCCAGATCTTCGTCCTCTGGCCATGTGTTCTCGTTCACACTGTAACCAACTGGCCTGTTGTTGCCTCCTAGATCCGATCTCGCAGTGTAGTTGAAGGCATAGTCGACATGCAAATGACTATCTGATTTTCTACCATAGACAGGAGCTTAGAAAAGCTTATTCCAAACAGGAGCGCATTAGCCACACTCACTGGCGCTTATCCCCAAGTGCATATCTGGGGATGTTACCGAGGACTGCATGTAGGCGCAAGATATCGTCTACTCACTAATTAGATGGCCTTATCTTAGATCTCCTGAGTTTCAACATGCAAGCATGGCTATCTAGGTATCCGGGGTGAACATCACGACCCCAGTAATATCAAGATAATATCGATCGCATATGCATATATTTGCCCCTTCTTTAGGAGCAGAGCACCCTTGCCAAAGGCGACATCTCTTAACCCCATACAACCCTGTTGGATAGTAGTTATCAATCAATAACCCACTCCTACCAATGAATCCTCCAATACTATCCACACCCCCCCAGCACCGCACAACACAGGGGTGAAAGGTTATCTAGGAGAATAAAGACAAAGATATCGGGTCAATAATCCGCACGATAACCCCTGCAAGTCTATCTAGCATATCCTCACCTTTACCGTTTCGGCACATCCATGATCGCCATTCCTGGGCCCCAGCCACCCATCCAAACTAATATCTATCTATCCCCTTCCCAGCCCTACCATTACTATTTCAACCTTTATCATAAGGTTTTCCCTTTCGTAGCTTAGTCCCAATTAGCTGCACGAAATTCCCCGTTTCTTCGAAGGATATCTCCTGCAGGTACGCCAGGTACCAATTAAACATACATGCACCCATGCGCCGCCCCTTGCATCGGTATGTAGCTAATAGCTATATGGGCCATCCACCCCGCATGTATACAGGATAAGCTTCTCCCTCTGGGATTGAGTTTAGTGTTTCTAGGAGGATGGAATTGGTGCTGCTCTTTTAGTAGTAGTGACTCTAGTTCATGCTATGGCACACATACCCTGCTATGGTTTAGAAGAGTTTAGTATGAAGTGAAGTTTTTCGCCATGTTTCTAATTAAGCTCTAAGTTAGCGACAGTCGTAGAAATGTTTCTCTATCGGCAATTCCAAGCTTGAGGAATTCCTTATTCGGGATGGGCGTCGTTAGAGTTAATTCTCTGGTATAATCTTAGAAATCGAATAAGTTTAGTATGTAACTATAGTACAATACGTGCATTCTTGGTATCATCTCGAACGTTACAATCATGATACTCACTTACCTACTTACTACAATCAATAATCTACAAGATAGATACTACCTACTTAAGATAGTAAGTCACTTAACCAATTAATTATTTCACAATCTCTAACAAAACCAATACTTCCTATTACTTTTATCAAGGACCATCAATTTATTCAGACATGTGGTCAACTATGCCGATAGTAATCATAACTACCGCCACCAGGAATGCAGTCTATACCCATCTAAGTAGAAAGTCACGCCGTTAGGGCAGATCATTCCATGGCAGTCTACTAGACTACCCTGCAAGCTCATATTGACTAGTGTCGAGTTGGGGCCTGTTATAAACCGTTGCGTAGCCCGCACATGCATGCCTTAGCAGCCCATCCCGCTTTTCTACTGAAGCGTCTCCACTTGACTATGTGCTGAAGAATACCAGCCCTGGATGATCAGTTCGCTACGCTACTACTGTCATTGCTTACTGCTGAGGTATGGACTAGTGCTGGGTGGAGAGTGCTAGACTAGTAGCCGTTGGGCTAGGAGGTGTCAGTATGTGGGATTAACGGGTGGTGAGTTATCTCTTGGTTGTGAGTTGTGGGTTTGTGGGTTATAGGGCATGCCGCTGCTCCTGCTGACGCTGACTTGCAGGATTCCTAACGGTTATTAGTCTACTAGTAGGTAGGTTGGTAGGTAGGTGAATGTTCATCCCTATCTCTCTGATTACTATTCTGTAGAGCACTCTGTGCTAGATTACTTCCGCAATTAGGTAGAGGAACTCCTTAGTCTATGAATCAAGTACTCTTACACACAGAACTACCAATAATATTCAATTTTTTCACAGGAGTCCACAGTACTTAGCTATAAGTAATAATCAAAAGTACAGCAACATCAATATCACTACTCCCATCAATAACTGCATGCCACAATCAACCCCAGTAAGGGATAGATACTCTATATCATATATTGAATACTTCCAAGTTGTAAGCACACAGTGGATATCATCGATAGCATCGATACTTGTGCATTCTATAATCAAGTAAGAGGAAATCGATGCGTCGCTTCTCCATTGACGACTAAGCCGCCGGCCCCAGTCGTCCATTGAGAATGCAGGGATTCCTTATCCTCCCATTCATAATCTATGAAGGTCCGCACGTAGCAGGGAAGGGAAGGAATGGTGGATCTTATGGTGGGTTGGTATAGGAGGTACGTGGCAGGTTTGGGGTTGGGGGGATTAAGGGGATTGGATTTGGGATTTGGGTATTGGTTTTATTCTAAGGGGGTAAAATTGTAGATGATTGTAGTACTTGAGAGTAGGCGGTAATGAAAATGAGTATGACGGTTGTTGTTGGGCATATGTGGTATTTTGTTGTTGAATATTGCGACATATATCTCCATCTGTTGTTTTAAGAGGCGCGAAATGTCGCTTTCACGATCTACTGGTAAGCGCACAACATTGGATGCTGTGGGTAGAGAATAAAGTGAGTACCTGGTAGGTAGGTAGGAAGTACTTGAGGTGAATTTTGAGAATATCCAGTAGTAGTGGCATTAAGGGTGTATAGAGGGCTTTTTTAAATATATATAGTACTTGTAGACGGACTGTCTTTAGCTCTGCTGAGGATGTTCTCGTAGAGGTGGCTTGTCGTGATATAGCGTTATAGTGATTATCCAAATAGTAGCATAGACTGCTCATCATGTACTAACTTGCTGGTCTATATTTATCCCATTTGTAGTAGATATGCAGATCATTTATAACTCTGCCCGATTCACATATTGCTAGTACTAGTATATAGTTATAACTTGTTCATAATGGAAAAGGGTGCTTACATAGGAAGTCCCAGTAGTGGTACCATTATATATATGGTTCTTGCCCTACTTATACCACCGAGTATGACAGCAGCAGTCATTATGGCTTTGCATTATGCTGCTTCCTTGTTTAGTTCTGTTCACAAAGCAAGCAGGGGATAAAATGGAGTAATTTCATCTCTTATGTTATTATCTCAATCAGCATGAATACTAGTAATATATATAATTTAGGTGGTCAATTGTGCACAGTCCTATTTATGTAGATCAGATTACTATGTTTAGTCTCCTGCTAGCTATAAGAGATAAGACGTAAAAAAAGCCCCAGGTAGCCAACTCCAAATATACCAAACCGTTGCCCAGACAATTAGCATGATTAAAAATTGAAGAAACTGACGACCAGAGTCTATTTCTTGACAATGGCGCCACAACAATGCCTTCTTTTGTTCTGTCTTGTACCCCACACAATGAAGCATGGAAAAGGAAAAGAGGTAGAAAGAAACAAGCATTTCACTTCAATATTCACTTTCCTCATTCAACTTCCTGACTGCTTCTATGCGGTCGTTGCAAACCTTGCAACCTTCATGCCCAGAAGCGCCTTTGTCTAAAAAAGCCTCAACCGCTTCGTGACTTCCCTGCTTCGTCGAATTATGAATAGGTGGTATTCCAATATCGTCTAGTATATTCATGTCCGCCCCAGCCTCAGCCAGCAACGTAATACATGATGCAATAGAATGCGTATCTCTAGAGCGTGACACACGGTGTAAAGCCGTCTCTCCCAACCGGCCCTTGGCATTAACATCGAACCCGGCGGCTAGAAGCTGCTGAACTATAGAGGTATTTCCAGTTTCCATAGCATAGTGAAGAGCATTATCGCCGGCTTTATTACCGGCAAACACGGCATCCTTGCTCATTTTGCTCAACAGCAGCTGTACAGCACGTGGGTGGTTATACTTGACTGCAAGATGTAGATAGCTCTCGCCGTCCTCGTTGAGCTGGTTGATGTTTTTGCTGGATTTGATCATCGTCAATATAAACTCACGGTCCTGGTAGTCCCTGTATGCTTTCAAAACATTGTGAATAGGTGTCCGGCCAATGCCGTTTGGTATGTCAACATCTGCCCCTGCCTCGAGCAAAGAGCGAATTATGTCAGAAGCCCGAATCTGATCGTACGTAATCTGACATGCGAAGTAGAGTGGTGTATGGTTGACTAGTGAGTTCTTTGAGCTGGATACATCGACTTTCACCCTTCCAGATTTGGCCAGCTTTAGAATCCTGGCTGTAGCTTTGAAATAATCAGTATTTATGTAACAATATGATACTGACAAATAGAATAGATACGTCAGGAGGCATGATTCTAATGCGTCCGATGTCCATAAGGAAGGTGCACGGTCAAGAAATAGCTCAAACACACTCTTAGAGCCCTCCAGTGCGATTCTTCGGATCCTAAAATCATTCGAAGCATTTGCACATGCTCCGGAGTCTAGAAGAAGTTTGAGGAGATCCAGATTCATTTGATAATGTTCCATGACTCGAAGCAGTGGCGTCATACCATCTCCATTTGCTATGAAGGGGTCACCGCCAGCAGCTTGCATTGCGCTTATTAGGAGCCTTGCCAGTTCTATGTTACCCTGCGAGCAGGCAATGAACAAGGCTGTTTCCCCCCATTCATTCCTTTGAAAAGGGTCAGAGCCGTCAGCGAGCAAAAGCTGCACAAGTGTGATATCTCCTCTCGAGGTGGCTGAATGGAGATATCCCTCAGAGCTAGCGTCAGTCGAGCTGAAATCATAGCCGGAATCCTTGAGAGCATGAAAGATCATTATGGGGATATCTGAGTCTGTGCAATCCTTCATCATCTCGTCACCGAGCGCTCTCAGAATGGCTTCCTGGGCGTATTGGACTGAGTCAAGCAGGTATCGGACCACGGCCGACTTCTCGCGTACTATGGCTGTCTCCAGTGGTGTATGGCCGTCCTCGTCCTCGACATTGGCATCTGCTCCGGCTTCAATCAAAGCCTGAACAATATGCAGATGTCCTTCACGGGCAGCCCAATGTAAGGGTGTATTTTCAAGTTTATCTTGCGCGTTGATGTTTGCGCCCCTAGATAACATGAGCTTCACAAGGCATAAGTTACCTCCAATTGCAAATCGGTGCAGCAATGTTTGATAATAGTAAACCCGACATATATCAGACGGGGACTTTTCAAAGTATTCAATGATATGAGGGGATTTCCAATGCTTAGTGTGCTTCCATGAGAACCAACGGCCGCTGTAACGTCCGCGCACGAGCCATTGAGATAGAAGCTGGGGCGTCAAAAGTTGGGAATATCGCCTTGCAGTACGGGCAAAGGCGGCCAGTGATGGTGGTTTGAGGAAATCGCCTATCGAGACGATAAGCTCCGCAGGAATAAAGTCAAGGCTAGTAGTTGAACTCATCGTGGATATGCGTTAGGTTCGTTGACAAGCTAGCGAGAAGTAATAGGAGTGTATAGTCTGTGAAGAAGGGAGTGAAGGGTTGAGGCAAGGATTGAACTTGAAATTTTGTAAGTCTATATATCCCCTGTAGCATGGTTCAAGAGTTATTTGAGTTCGTCAAATCTCATCCACTGCAACGGCAAGAACCATGAAAGGACTGATCTCAATGACAATAGTTCCATTGTCCCGAGATAGGGGTCTTTCATTGTGGACAAGTTAGGCTCAGGCCATCTATCTTGACGGTTGCACCACAATGAAAAGGCATCTTAAAGACATCAATGGGCGGAAACGACGAATTTTCGCATATGGGAACTTCATATAAAGATCGAAAAGTCCCTTACCCCTTTATCATTGGCTGATACCATGGATTCACAAGACAGAGCAAGCTCACTCCATCAGGATAACTTTAAAACAAAAACCTAGTTTATGAGGCAGGTTCCTATCTCCTGGCTCCATAAGAAATGGCTGTATCCTTTCTCCGGTGCGTCACCAATCCTTGTGGAACAGGCCATCACTAAGCATTGATGAAAGACACTACAAAGGGAAGAAAGCAATGCAATATTCTGAGCGTCACCATCCTATCCACCGACGAACCTCCGTCGGGCATCTATGCGCGGCAATCGTTTGTTAGCAAGATACTACTATGGAAAGCTGCGCGTACTTATTTTCAACTAAGAGCACATCGGTATAACCCATATAATGTCTTCACTGACAAGCCCACTGCACACCAAGCCTAGAGATTTCTTTTTTTCCCTTTTTTTTTTTTTTTTTTTTTTCAAGAGCCCATATCAGCTCATTGAGAATGTGGAGGAGCTAATCTTATATTGTCCTGGGGCTATCATCCTCTTCAGGTCGGAGATAGATTTGACAGAAGGCCGCTACCGACTGGTTGATAAGCTTGGGCATGGAGGACACTCCACTCTATGACTGGCCCGTGATCTACAAAATTCCAGATATGTCGCCGTGAAGGTCATCATTGCATTTTCCAATGGCAACACAGATGAACCTGGTCTGCTTCGCTACCTAAGAACGTTATAAGAATAGCCTGGAGGGGATATTGTCCGGCCTCTCCTCGACAAGTTTTGGGTTGCTGGCCCCAAAGAGAGGCAAAGATGCCTTGTCACTATCAGCTCGAATGAGCTCTTTGGACGCGAAGGAGTCTTCGGGGATCGAGCGTTTTTCAGCCCAGCTTGCGCAGTCAATAATCGATCCACTCATTCGTGGAATTGCTTTTCTTCATAGTGAAAATATTGCCCATGGCGATATGTAGTTATTACACACTCCTAATCGTATAGACCAACTAATCCTCTTATCAAGAGTTTCATCTAGGAAAACATTTTAGTCGAGTTTCCGAAGGCGATATATACGCTTTCCACGCTAAAATCGTACTCGAAATATGGAAAGCCAGAGTCGGAGCCCATTATTCGCGATGATGGCAATGTTCCTTCAAACCGCGTACCTGTTAGGGCTTTCTTTGAGACCTGGTTTGGCGTATAAGTCAAGGAGTTTCTCTCAAAGAGACAGAGATCTCTTTGTGTAATTTTGGAATGTCTTAGAACCCACACAAAAAGTCTCGACAATTCTCAGAAACCATATTCTTCCTTCAGCCACCAGAGAGTAGGTTTTCCAGCAAGCCATTCTCCTTTTCATCAAGTATATGGACATCGGTCTGTACTAAATGGGAGATCTCCGGCGCGCGGTCTTTATGCAGAGTCTTCCTTCCAACCTTGACCTGGTTTGATGGGGCCAATGCTAAGATATGAGCCAGGTGAGAGAGTCACGGCAGAGCAGTTGATGCAATCAAAATGGATGAAGCGTTGGAGATTGCCGGCTATGGAACAGGGCTTGAACACGAAGGCGGATCTGGAAGACAAAAAGGCAGACCCTTAGACCAATTAAGGAACAATATAAATCTTGATAGCATCAACGAAGTCCATTTATTCTTCTCTAGGCCAAAGAGCCTTCTTTTTTGGGGGGAGGGATTACCCTGACCTTTAATATCATGGCATGAACAACGGCGGCACCAATGACCCTTCAGTTACTTACCCTGAAACTACCGTAGATCATGTGGCAACACCCTAAGCTTTCTCATGTGTGAGTCACAACTACACTGCATAGTAGTTGATAGCGGTTCGATATACTGGGGCCTTTGATATAGAGGCATCATACGCAGTGCGATAAGATAACAGCGATTCAACAGCACGCAAAGTATTTTCGCATCATACCCCAGATATTCTTCCGTAAGAGTCCACACATAAAGCAGACAAGTATTGTGACTTGACTCATAGCTATATTAGTTCGATTCAAACAGGTACAAACACAGCAATAGATGGGTGTAGTATAATGATTTATGAGTATAAGTTGTGTTATGTAAAGAGCCAAGCCGTCCGGGGCGCGCTAACCCGATTAAGCCAATCGCCTCATAAATTTTCGGAAGCGGAATCGCAAGCAACTCCTGCATCCCAGTCGTCGTGGGTCTGTCCAGCGACTGTCTTATGATTGATTCATCATCTGTGAATCATTTCAATACATCTAATTATTGGCGAGGAAGTTTTCAATTCTTCATTCCCCGCAATGGCGCAAAACAATGCCGCGTCCAAAAAGCGGCGCCGTGAGCCGGTCAATGTCGACACCAAATTGGTCGAGATCTATGAAGACCTCGCTAATGAGAAGGACGATATCAGGTTGAAGGCTGCCCAAGCCCTGGTATCTCAGTTCACTTCCGACAAGAACCCCGCCGATGAGCAGATCAAAAAAACCCTGCAGAGACTCTTCCGTGGTCTCTGCAGTAGTCGCAAAGCCGCCAGAATTGGTTTTTCTATTGCATTGACTGAGGTCCTGTCTCAGGTCTTTGGAGCTCCCCGCGAGTCGTCCGAACTGAATATTTCGACTGTCATGAACATCTGGGAGTCGCAGTCTAATGCTTCTGGTGGTGAGTCTGGTCAGGTAAATACATCCTTATCTAGGTCGCATCTTATTCTACAATGCAATGCTTACTTTACTCTACAGGAACAAAGAGACCACTACTTCGGTCGTCTGTTTGGTGCCGAGGCTATCATCAAGTCATCCATTCTGTTCAAGCCCAACGCTCCATTCAACGAGTGGACTAAGCTCCTGGACCTGGTGTTTGAACTGGCCAAGAAGAAGCCCTGGATCCGGGAGGAGTGCGGCTGGATCATCTATCGCTGCATCTACGAACTTGCAGCCCAGAAGGCTGATGCTAAGTTCCTGGGATCCGCGCTTGAGCGTCTGTGCTCGAACGATCTTGCACGCACCCCAGAGGGAGTGGCCATCTGGCTCGCTGCCAAGGACCTGTTCCCGGAAGTAAAGTTCCCCAGTAAGGTCTGGAAGCACGATGATCCTCTGGACGCAAAGGAGAGGAACCAGCTGGCCAAGGTTATGAAGGAGTCTTCCTCTGCTGATTCCGAAAGTGAAGGCGGAAACAAGGCAAAGTCGTCTGGAGTCTGGAACTCAAAGCTTCACTTTGCCTGGGACACTGTCATCAGCAGACTTGCCGATGCTCCGACAAAGGAGAGCAAGTCGAAGGGTTCTTCATCCCGTATCAGCTTCGCTGACTTCTGGACGGAAGTTGTCGACAGTGAGTTTCTCCCTCAGTTGTGGTGGCATCTATCTAACATAACTGTCCAGACGGCCTCTTCGCCTCTTCATCCTCAGAGGAACGTAAATACTGGGGCTTCCTTCTGTTCAACAAGGTCATCAACGAATCTCCCCTGAGCTTGGCTTCCCTGGTGTTTACCAAGAACCTCGTCAGGTGTCTGATGAACCAGCTTGCTGTCGAAGACAGATACCTACACCGCATGGCCGTGAAGGTCGCAAAGGCCGTCCAGACACGTGTGTCCAAGGAGCCCGAGTTCGCCGCCGCTTCTGTGCATGGTCTCATGAGCTCAACCGGATCTGTGAACTTCGACCAGGCAACCAAGACGAAGACCGTGGAGAAGATTGTCGCTGAAGCCAATTTGGCCGCTCTGAAGCAGATCGTTCCGCTCTTCGAGTCCCTCATTGCATCCCCGGGAACGACTGACAGCAAGGCTGCTGCTTCGAGCCGCCAGTTCTTGGCCGGTCTCCTCCTGTCCATTGTTCGTGCCCGGGCTTCGGCCAGTGACGACGAGGATGGCATGCAGAAGATCCTTGAGAAGATCCTTTTCGCTTTTGTTCGGTTCGCCTACTTCAAGCCCGCGGAAGAAGGCCGGGACCAGTCCGTCACTCCCCCTGTGACGGAACAGACACAGGAGCTCTTCCGGAGCCGCATCAACTCGTGTATCAACAGTCTCATCGCTACGCAACAGTACGCGGGCGTTCCGTACGTCGTTGTTCGCCACATCCGTGACGCTGTCAAGTCTGAAGAGCACGGAAAGTTCATCATCAACATGAACGACACTATCCAGGACGCCGTAAAGAACGCTTTCAAGTCACTGAAGAAGCTCGCTAATATGGTAAGTCTATCGTCGGCATAGCCACCATCCATTACTAACCCATAATAGGAGAAGGGTGACAAGGCCAGCATCGATGCCTTCAAGCTGCTGTACTCCTTGACCATTCTGCAAGTGTACAACGGTGACGCCGATGCCGCCTCCATGCTGGAGGAACTCGACTTCTGCTACACCAAGATCTTCGGCGACAAGAAGTCCAAGAAGGAGGAAACTTCTGACGCCTCGGACGCTCTTGTGGAGATCCTGCTGAGTTTCGCATCCAAGCAGTCTCAGCTTTTCCGCCGCATGAGTGAGCAAGTCTTTGGTGCTTTCGCCGACAGCATTACAGAGAACGGCCTGGAGTCGTTGACCTCGGTATGTCCAGACTCCCACTTCCTCACAACCCCCACTAACATCCCATCTCAGATCCTGGAAGCGAAGGAAAGTCTTGCTGGCCAACAAGAAATGTTCGACCAACAAGACGACGAAGGCGACGAGGACATGATGGACGTCGACGGAGAAGACGACAGCGACGTCGAAGTCATCGACGGCGACGCCGGCTCCGACTCCGACAACGACGAAAGTGACGACGAAGACGAAGACGACAACGAATCCACCGGCAACGACCTCGAAGAAGCGATCTTCGAAGCCAAGCTCGCCGAAGCGCTCGGCACTCACCGCGCCGACAAAGACCTCAACGAAGACGACTCCGAAGGCTCCGACGCCGACATGAACGACGACGAGATGGAAGAAATCGACACCCAACTCGTGAAAGTCTTCAAAGCGCGACGCGACGCCCTCGGCCAAAAGAAAGACAAAAAGGACGCCAAAGAAAACATGGTCAACTTCAAGAACCGTGTTCTCGATTTGCTCGAAATCTACGTCAAGAAATGCCACTCCAAGATCCTGGCGCTTGATCTCCTTCTGCCGTTGTTGCGCCTTACCCGCCGCTCCACTGTCAAGCAGATCTCGAATAAGGCTGCTAATGTGCTCCGCGAGTACACTAAGCACTGCAAGGGCGCGGCGCTGCCGAAGCTGGATGATGAGATCGAGCCGGTCTGGGAGCTGTTGAAGTCGATTCATACCGAGGCGACGCATAGTGGGCCGCCGGCGCATGCGTCGGCGTGCAGTCAGGCTAGTTTGTTGGTGGTGAAGACACTGGTGGCGCATGATAGGGAGACGATTGCCGGGGTGGTGGATGTTTATGGTGAGACGAGAAAGGCGCAGCTCATTAGCAAGAAGTGTCATGTGCAGCCGTCGTTCTTTACCGATTGGAATAATTGGTGTGTGTCGAGTAGTAAGCAGATGAAGAATTAGCTGCTACGGAGGACTTACTGTATAGATGGGCTATTAGTTAGAGATTGATTGGGACCAGTCCCAATAACATTGATTGTAATATATACACAATCTCCCTCCTAGTATACTAAGTTATAGACATCACATCACGATTACCACCACTCACCGAATACTACATAATTCTTTCAGAAACCCTTGATATACCGATGTCCATCGGTAACCTCCACAACCTCAAAGCCCATACCCACCTCAACCCTCCCCTCCTGCCTCGGGGCACTCAACATCCCAAAACAAGGCTTGAACTTAATCCCCTCATCCACACGCCTATACTTCATAAGTGTATCCCACGGCTGCCGACGATGCTTCTCCGCCGTATCAGGATCAACGTTCGGAACCTGACATCTCGCGCACCTAGCCACGATATCCAATTCCACTGCCCCATTTTCCCTCTTCCCATCCTTTCCATTACCTACAATCCGCACGACCTTCCACGAATCCTCCTCCCACGGCACATCTCCCGTAACCACAATATTCGGCCTAAACCTCTCAATAGTAATAGCCTCATTCCCACCCTTCACCAACCTCGCATTCAACTCCTCAATCGACGCCACCGAAGCAATCAACACCGGATGCACATCCGGGAAATAAGTATCCTGTTCTCTACCCAGAATCTCGGGGGCGCCGTTCCCGCGCAGAATGCGGCGCTCAGGGCCCTTATACACTAGCTTCACCTCTCGGCCGAGAAAGTCACAGAATAGGGCATTGACGTCTGCCCCGTACGCATACGCATCCGTTACTGTGTCCCAGATCGTGACGTGTTCGAGGGTAGTATGTTGCGCGAGCCAATCGGGAGTAGGGTTTGTCGGGAGGGAGATATCCTTGTCCTTGGAGAAGGAGGGGATGGAGATGAGCAGGTGTGAGGAGTCCGCGGAGAGGGCTGTTGTGATAAGCGTCATGCGCGAGTCTTGTCGGATGGTAAGGAATTGGTTGGTTTTGGCGTCGATGAACATCCAGCGGCGGTCGAGGGAGAGGCCGTGCTTGTGTAGGGTTGTCTGGGGGAGACGGATCCCTCGGCAGGATTTTATGGGGTAGATGTAGAGGGAGTGGATGGTGGTGGGTTTGGGGTGGTGGTGACGGAGGAGGTTGAGGTTGTGTTTGAGGATGTGGGTGGCTTTGGGGGAGAGGAGGAAGGGGAGGAGGAGGATGGTGAGGGTGGTGAGGAGGAAGAGGGTGGATGATTCCATTGTGGCTATTGTTTTTTGAGTTCGTCAATTGCGTGTGGGTTGTTAGAGATTGTTTGGTGCTTTCATTGCTGTGTGAGTCAGTGTGTAGTTTGGAAAGAGGAAGTGGAAGAAGTGAGACAGAGAAAGAGAGACAATAGAAAGTTGCGCAGGGAAATGGGCGATAAGAGAGATAAGATAACCGCAATATCCGCAACTGCCATCCTTATTCCGCCAACGGGATATCAAATCGCATTGCGCTAACGGCCGCATACTTAGCTTAGGTTGAGCTTGTTCATATAGGGCGTGAGAACACAATCTAGATTGGTTCTATCTTACAAAAATACAATACCAGTAATTAGACGATGGTGATTATATATCGACACTCCTTATGCTCGAAATGTGCGGTGCTAGGTGTGATGCAATCATGACCATCAGGCGCCCACACGTATCCAATGATGCAAATATAACCAAAACTATAGTAATCAGATAGAACCACCGATAAACCAAAGCTGCTAGTAATCACTCAATGTCACAACTCCAAAATTTAGAAAGCCATTCAAATGCTAGGAAACGCTGTGTTGCTGCTCACTCCAGCTAGTCACAAGAGCCTTGATCAGCGCGACGGCGACCTCCTTGCCCGTCTCTATATCCTCATCCAAGCATGACGCAGGAACATGGAAGAAAGTGACATTGCGATCCTCACCTGCCTGGTACGCCAGTGCCAAGCTGGTGTACAGGATGAACTCGCAGAGATAGCGTCCGGCATCAGTGGAGACCCGCGCATCGGTTTCCGGAGGGCAAAAGGTCTTCCATGCTGTTAGAAATTCATCGTTCGGGGGCCGGGGGCTGAGGTGTTTCTTCTCCGAGGCGTGTCCCTCTGAGGGGCCAGCTCTCAGCACCAGTGGCAAGTCGAGCTCCCTCCACAGCTTCTCGCCATCCTCGTACCCGGATCTGCCTTTGATATCGGACATCAGATACCCGTCACGATGAGCCTGCGTCTCGACGGAATAGTAATTCCTCATTGCTGCTATGCCAATGTGAATGACAATGTCTGGGCGCCGTCCCCCGTGCGTCTTGGCATAGTCATCGAGAATGACAGGAAGTGTCGTCCGCACCGTGGAGTATGCAACAGGTATGGGTGAAGGGTGAACATTTATCGAAACCCGACGGGGAACAGCTTCGGAGCCGTCTGAAGAGGCAGGTGAGAAGGTAAATGAGGGTGGTAGTGATGAGGCTATCAGATATGAGGCGTTCACTAGATTAGACTTGAATGGCTGTAGAACATGTGAGCTGCGATATTAGGAGAACGGCATAGAAGTCGAAAGCTTACCCCAAAGCCTGTTACAAGAACTGAAATCTCATCCTGATCTGTACCAGACACAGGCGGATTCCCAGGTGTCTGTGCCGTGAGCGACGACACTCCGGGGCCGTAGTCTCCCATGATAAGCACTGACTATCCCTACAGATGTACCGAGAAAGAATGTTGGGGTTAACAAAGGCCAGTCATCGAAGAAGAGCAGGTAGCAGCCAGAGAACTCGATCCGACCGGCTTCCAAGCCACCACGGTCCAGAAAGTTAAACCAGGCGATGAGGTTGTAATGAGAAAGAGACCGACCAGTTGGGTCTTGAAGGGCAGCTTTCCCCGCATTGTCTTGGCGTCACGAGATAAGGCTTCGTCGCATCGTGCCTTTCTCGCCGGCCGCAGTCTCTTTTCCTGCTTCCATGCCTCCCTGAGTCTTCATTGTTCTTCTCTTCGACGATGAGGATGTCTGCAAAGTCATTCTACGACCATAGTTTGCAGCTTATTGGATGCCATTCATCACCAACGAATTTCCGTATATGGGCCGGTCGCGGTTGATCACCCGCACTTAGTTTCTGGTCCCTCTGAATGGCCCACGGTCTGGATTGACTTGTGTGACTGGAATAGACTCATAATGATGCACCCACGAGAACACAGACACAACACATACACAGCACATACCCTCCGATCCTTGAGCTAAATTATTTCTAGTCAGCACTTTGCGGTTCAGCGAAGATTTAAGGTGTTCAGGCATCCCCCGCGATACGCCAATACGTGGTCCGAATATGGTTTAGCGTATCCCCGGATGGAGGCAAACGAATAAACGAATGAACGAATAGACAAATCGAAGTATCTGATGATGAAGTGGAATGGCATTTGACTAACCAGATGAGAACAGGTCGCAGTCTCACATAAAGCACAGCCATGATTTATGCTTATCAAGGAGCAGGCTAGACCAGCTGGCTGATTCTGACTATGTTTGTGCCGTATTCCGTCGCAAAGCGAACGTATTCGAACCACGATACGACGGGGGTTCCCAACCGACATTCCTCCTTGGGTAACCTTTGTGTCAATCACAACTCGGCGAAAGGGAGACCCGATATCCATCCCTCGTCCTGAGTCGCCCAGATGGTTCATTCCTTCCGGCCCACCCTGTTGCTGTCAATGAGCGGCTTTCCATATCTCACCCGATCGTCTCGTCGTATTAAGCGTATTCGATGATCCATCCTTATAGACAAGGATGGAGTGGAGACAAGGCATCTGAGAACTCGGTTATTCCAAAAGTATATATTCGTATAAGTAGTCGGGCGGTTCCAACGCCGATTTCTATTCTGGCCCCTCTTTTCCATGATTTTCACAGCACCTTTCGCTACCCACTCCGGCCATGGCAGTCATCCTTGAGGTCCTCGATAATCAACACCTCTTGCAGGGCGTTGTACTGGCCTTAGTATTGGTCTTTGTTTCCAGCTTCTATCATGAACTAGCAGATAGTTTTCCATACAAGAATATTCCCCTGATTGGCAAAAGCAAGTGGGAGATCACAAACACAAAAGCCAAGCAACGATTTGTTACGTCTGCAAAGGAGCTCTTCGCTGAAGGTTTTAGTCAGGTATGGATTAAAGTGTGCCGCCAACGCATTAGCGGCGGAAGCTAATATACCTGCAGGGTAGAAAATCGTTCCAGGTTGTTTTCTCCGCCAGGCCAACGATTGTCCTTCATCCAAGTCTAGTGGACGAAGTTAAGAACCATCCACTTCTTGACTTCAATGAAGCAAACAAGAAGGTATGTACCACTCACTAGTGGGTATGCACACAGGAAATACTGACATATGGGCAGAGCTTTTTTGGATCCAAGATCCCAGGATTTGAGCCGTTCGATGGATTAGATCACGAGGGCATATTCCTTGAAGTGATCAATAAGAAGATTACTCAAGGGCTTGGTAAGGTGGTCCGGGGGAACAATCTTCTGCAGAACACTGACTTTCTTGCAGGGCAACTGATCACTCCACTTTCAAGGGAGACAGCTACAGTCATGAATGAAAAGCTTCCGGACACCGGGGGTACGTGACTCACATCCATGAACTGTAGTCGACCTTCTAACATGATATAGAATGGCTCTCCTTCAACTTTGCACAGGAGATTCCCCATATCGTAGCTCGCCTGTCCTCTCTTGTGTTTCTGGGTGAGAAGATCTGTCGTGACAAGCAGTGGCTGGACGTTTCCGTCAACTATACCATCCACGCTTTCGTGGCTGCTCGTGACCTCAGACTTTACCCTTCAATCCTACGTCCTTTTGTCCACTGGTTCTTGCCGTCGACTCGTGAGACCCGGAAAGATATTCGCATCGCTTCCGGCATCATCAACCGTGAGGTGGAAATGAGGAAACTTATCCGGGAAGGCAAGCTTCCTGAAGAGGACCCTCCGAGGACGCACGCCGACACGCTGGACTGGTTCGAGGAGGTTGCTGCTGGCCGGCCGATAGACATCGCTGTTGCCCAGGTCGGCCTTTCTCTGGCGGCGATCCACACGACTTCTAACCTCCTCACGAACATTATGTACGACTTGACAGCCTACCCGGAGCACATCCAGCCACTGAGAGACGAGATCATCGCTATCGTCAGCGAAGACGGAGGATTGAAGAAGACCAGCTTGACCAAGATGAAACTGATGGATAGCGTACTGAAGGAATCCCAGCGAATGCACGCCGCCGGCATTGGTAAGCGCCCAGTCCAGCCCGCTTCAACCCTCAACTTAGGGCTCTTCTGACATACAAGTACAGCCTTCCTCAACCGCCTCGCTATGGGAGATATCATGCTGTCCGACGGCACCCGCATCCCCAAGGGCGCCAGCGTAGCAGTTTCGGCGCACAACATGGAGGATGAAACTCTCTACCCGAATGCGAAGACGTACGATGGCTTCCGATTCTACAAGAAGCGTCAAGAACCCGGCAACGAGCACCGGTTCCAGTTCGTGACCACCAGCCCGGAACATCTCGGCTTCGGACACGGCATGCATGCATGCCCGGGACGCTTTTTCGCCTCGAACGAAGTGAAGATCCTCCTCATCCACTTCCTCATGAGATACGACTGGAAGTTCGCCGATGGCCGCACAACGCGACCGATGAACTTTATGCACGGAACAGAGTCGATTTGCGATCCGACAGTGGAATTCCTATTCAAGCCCCGACAGCCAGAGGTTGATTTGTCGTGATCCGTCTCTCTCCGTTAAGCCTGTATATACCAAATGGACCAGTACGGCGTACTGTGTACATACTAGACTGCCTATATCCCGATCAACTCGATCAACCAATCAGAACCACATACAAAGATCACAACAAATCTAAGACATATCTCAGCAGATCACGTCGCCTTATGACATGATTTGTTTTGCTTTTTCTTGTTCTTTCCAACGGCGTCTCCACATGCATCCAAGACAAGTCAGTCATATGCAACAAGGCCACGAAAAAAACCAGTTTCGAAGCAAGGGATGAATGTGGCGACGCTAACGAGAATAATACCGCACCAGATACAAAACCGGTTCTATTCTTCGCACATACACTAACTGCATTCTTAGCTTGTGATCTGATTCCATTCGTCACACTTTATTCTACTATGTATTTCGAAGATGATTGTGGCGAGTGTCTAGTTGCAGAATGAAATATGCTCAGATACCGGCTATCTAGGCGGAAAGGTTTCCAGGAGTCAAGGCTGTTTGTTTTTGTCTTACGTGTTATTCCGGAATAGGTAAGCAGTAAGCAAGAAAAGAACATGAACCACTGCATTGCATTATCTGCAGGTGCAGGTGCAGGTAGGCTAGACCGCTTACGTGGGTAGATACTAGTTAGCTAGTTTACTATTGAGTAATAATAGTTCGATGTGTAGATAGGTAAATAGTATGTTGTGTATTCCATACAGGGCACAATAGTGCATAGTGCAGATGCGCATACGCGGTAAGGAGATTGCGGTGTAGAACGAGAGGGAAGTACTAACTTGCTTACAGTCAATCGTTAGGGCTGGTTGATAATAATGATGTGGGAATAGTAACCCGAGGGAGAGGGCATACTGCCTCTCCAGTGAGTATTATGATAATAGATGGGTGCTAGATAAAGTGGCGCACAATGGATCAATATGGAAGATGACACGAGATAATGTCTTTACTACATACGTATTCTACAATAATTGACAGTTACCTATAATTCTCTAGAAAACAAATCAATCCAATATACACGAGAATATATACAGTTTAGTTATCCTACTAATTTTTCGTCTACACATGAAAGAAATCTTAACTAAATCAACGTTCCGTCCCCCTGATCCTAGATAAACCACACCCATGAACCATGGATCCAGCAAGAATCAAGCTTACTTCAATCCTAGCTCAACCAACAACCACAGTTCAATAGTTGCCCCGTGCTGCTGAGTGGTTCCCAGTCCCAGATCAGCTAGCTAGCTGGTAGCTTTCCTGGATCGTACTATTTCCTGCCTGTTAACCGTTAACAGAAATTAGAGTAGCATACAGTATAAGCACAAGCAAGCAAGCAAGTACTGCGCACGCCAGTGTACAGATATGTCGAGCATGGTTATCTTCAATGTTATTATTTTTTTTTGTTGGGGTTGGAATGTACATATACTCCATTACTTTTGTCTAGTAACTGTATGGGTATTGCATGGTATGGAAAGACTACAGGAGATGGGTTGGGAGTAGGTGGGTATATGTAGGTAGTAGAATTTACTGCTGTGAACGAGCTATTCATAAATAAAACTGAGGTACGAATACTTGCTTGTTTTGCTGGGATAGGTAGTGCTACTGTAGTTGATTTGCACTGCCATTTTAGTACTGTCTATAAAGAAAAATAAGAAGGCTGGGACGGTTATTGTTGTTATTGACCCCCCAAACGGCAGTTACCATAGTACTTACCACTATCATGCAATCAAAAGCATCGGGATTTATTTATGTCCGCGATAAATAGTAGTACACAGTACTGATATCCACTTTGATCAATCCATATTAACGTGTCCCACAATTATCAACATTTCAACATCATACTAGTCAAGAACAATATCAACAAACTACACCCTAAAAGGCAACAACTCCATCGTTCAGTACCAAAAATAACATTGCGTATTGCTATAATTATAATATCATCAGTGCTTTTGAAATTTTTCTGTCCGTGTTGTCTCCATCCCCAGCCATCTGAATTACTATTTCTAGGTCCATTGATGGAGTTGGAACTAAACGGTAGGTTAGTAGTAAGCTACTAGTAGTGTGGTCTAAAGTATAGTAGCACGACGATACTAAAAAAGTATGGATTAGCCAGGAACAATGGAACCTTCCCCGGCGCAGGCAGATTTACGCTAGTACGTAAATCCAAAACAGGCGGTCGCGGGCGCTGAGTGGCAGGAACCGAGGTGAATACAGTCAGTTACCAAACGCGCGGATGCGCGTGTCAGGACGCGTTAAAGTCGCGTTTACCCCGCCCTTGACGCGTTCATTGGGGGAGACGAATGGCGATAAGCGAATTGATTGACATGAACGTGCAGTGTTGCTTCAATAGGTGCCGTGCCGTGCCCGGTTTGGCTTTGTTGCGGGAATATAGTACTAGATTTCTTTCATGAAGGAGGGAGAATATGGCATGGATTGAGAGATAGAAGACCACGGGAGTATATAGCAAGTGTACTGGGACCACTTTGTGGATTGAGGTCGTAAAGAATATTCCACTCCATGACTCTTCTTTCCTCTGTTTCGATCATTCTCGGGCCGTCCGCGAGGCGTGGTGGTGCCTTTTCCGATTTCCATGCCCAAGCTGGGCATGATACTACTGGTTGATGGGCGGTGGGTGCTAATGCATGCCCAGTGCGTCGGGGTTCGATTCGTTCCCAGGCGGTGGAGAACCGCTTCTGCAGGTGACTGGAGTTCATGACCATGACCATGATCAATTTGATCGAGGTACTCACCCGAGGCCACCTTGCTGAAAGCACCGATGGGACGCCCCCGAATTCCTGGTTTGCCAACATTGTTGATTGGGGGGCGGGAGAGAAATGATCTTTTATTCATTAGTTTTTTTATTCATCTATTTATTTGGCTTTTTTTTTTTTTCCCTATCACCTCCCTCCCAGCCACCGGGATGGTTTGGATCACACGGTCCCGTCATGGGTGGAAGTCGGTCTTGCTCGCTAGAGAACGTTGCGTGTAGATCGATGGGGCCACAATGAAGTAGGATGAGGTAGGTCGTTTTCCCTCTTATCCTTGGAGGTGAGATTGCTGCTTAGTGTGCTGGTGCTACCGGGTGCACGGGAATTGTGATGAATCCCAAGGTAATGGAGAGAAATTATTGGCGAGGATGGTCAATGATCAAGTGAGCCATCTGCACTCGGTCTGCATTGAGGATACCTTTCTCGGTACCCTTGCAGTTCAAGGAGAGGGAGGGGGAACGCAACGTTGCAAGTATAGTAACTCACGGATGAACGAGGCACAGCCCAGTCTAATTGATCTAGACTGGTAAGCTAAGCTATTACTGTTCTGGATCGCAAGTCCTGCAGCCCGTGCAAAAGGTACGGCAGACTGATGAGTCTAGTGTGTCCCCATATAAAGAGATTAATTATGATGATTCTGGACTATCTTGTTGGGGCCACTGGGGCGACTCCATCAGGATGGCTGCCATTTGTCGACGGGCTGCAGGCGTGAATCCTCTGCCCGTCCCGAGGGATCGTTGGGCAACGCGGTGAGGCGGTTAGAGGGATGCAGCACTTACTATGGACCAGCCCCCGAGAATGAGAGGGTAAGAGGGAAAAGTGTGCCAGTGAGTTTGACGGCCAATTGTGTGAGTGCTCGAAGGTTCTTGATCTGGATGAATAGGATAGAAGAGTACTACTGGTTAGTCTCTTTCTTCCGGTTGAACCAACATTGGCCAGAAAACAGGTAAAAATGACAGAAAAAAAGAAAGGAGGAAGCGAGGGAATTAAATTGGGAAAGAATTCAGCAAAGACAAAAAAATTAAAACAGAAAAAAAGAAATCGCTGCATGAAAAAATAAAAAAGAAGGCAGAGAGAATGCAGCTGAGTGGCTCACGAGGAAACGCAGCATATCGACTTTCTCCGCATTCCTGAGCAGTCGCGACTCTAGTCCAATTGCCCTGTCTGGTTTTCCTTTTTTCGAATTTTTTTCCCCAATTTTTTGATCCATTAATTTTTCTTCGGGGTTGATTCACGATCATTTATGATGGCAATTGGCAGCTGTGGCATTTCAGAATGATCATGGTTGAGAGAGTGTCATCCCCGACCTGTTAACTAACATCATGAACAACGATCTCGATTAGCGAGAATAGGAAAGGTTGCCCGTGAACAGCGCACCGGCGAGGCCACTTGGTGCCCTGATGGGCTTGACGTGGTGATCTCCGGGCCTGCTGGAAGGGAAAAAAAGGTGGAGCCAGAAGGAAGTTGACTAGTAGTTCGTCCCTGTCGCGGCCACCGAGCAGACCAGAGCAAAGTTCCGCTACCCAAAAGGCGCTGGTTAACAGTTCAGTTTAGTTAGTTAGTTAGCAGTTGGATGCTTGGAGTTTTAGTGAGTGTTCGCGGCTTCTTGCGCCTACCGCTTCCCTTTCCCTTCCACGGCCCCCCCCCCTCCTCGGCTGTCTCATCCTCTCGCTCTTCCTCTTCTAATTATTCTCTTCTTCCCTCCACCCCCCGTTTATTTCCTTTCCCTCCGTTACTTCCCTACATCCCACCCCCTTCTTTCTCGACAGCCACGTTGTCGCTTCTCCTTTTTTCTCCGATCGAGCTTGTCGCTCGTCATCGACCATCCCTTCCGTTTCCTTTTCCTTTTCTTTTGTGCTGGTCTGGCGTGTTCGTGTGCCAATGTCGGCTCCCCGTCTTCTATAGTTCCCTCCTCTGGGGTACCCGTTCGATGTGATCCTCTCGCAATTCCACCCCCCCCCCCCAAGCGCATCGCTGCACAACATCGTTGCGCGTCACATCGAATAACATACGAATTCGATCGCTTTCGCCACATCCGACCACTCACACCTCGACGTGTTTTTCCTTTTCTTGTTTTTGTTCCCCTCAACTCCTGTTACGACTCACGACCCTCATAAACCCTAAGCGCGCCTTGTCGACGACCCTTCGGAGATCGATCACAGACGTTGCACCATTGACTGAAACGGATTTCTTTACTTCTATTGCTCTTGGATTTCTCTTCCCCCTTGCTCTTCCAGAGTTGAGTTTGGTTGTTCTCTGAATATCGTGTGCGCGCTTCACGCGAATTGGACAATATCGTGCGATCTAGGCTATCTCCGTCCGCGCTTAACTTGGAACGTCAGGCACCAGTTCTCGCATCGCTCTCGAGGTTCGCGACATGACAGTGGTATAGGAAAGTTGCATCAATTTGTCAAGATAACGCACTTACCTCTTACCACTTGTCACCGTCTTAGCTAGCAAACCGTCGTTGAACCGATACGGGACTACACATCATGGCTTGTCGACCACACGGCCTATCGCGCACCCTGCCGAAGAACTTCACCTTTTCTTCGTCGGGTGAGCCTCGCACACCAGAGCGCGTTTCGCACCACCTGGATGTCCCACCGCCTCCCCCTCGTCATTCCAGTTGCCGCTTACGTAGGTCCCGCGTCCGCTCGGGGACCGATGTCTTTGCGCAGGCTGAATATGACCTCAGCACGTTCAACCCGAACCCATCCGATGTCCCTTTACCTTCGATTGAAGTCCCCTCTACCGACGCTTTCGCGGGCCCCTCGTGTCCAGCAGTACCCTCCCGCGATGACCGTTTCTTAGCGCCGCCCCGGGATCGCCTGGCCATGAAAACGCCTCCCGCTCAGATTCGCCCCGACCCGATCGAGGATAAAAGTACCGGATCGTGGTCTCTGGAGGACCCGCAGGCCCTGGGAGAGAGTATCCAACGCCCGAGTTCCGTCTGCTCGCAAGCATCAGATTCATCCGTCTCCTCGATAGAAACGTTTGGCTCCCGGCGCTCAGCGGGTGGAAGCTGTACCAGCATGGAGAGCGATTCATACGACCCGTTCTTCCACCTGGAGCTTCCACCAAAGCCGGCTCCGGAGACGCCCTCTTTGTGTCGGACGCGCAAGAATAAGACACGGATGTTGCATGCTAAGGAACGATGGACCCTGGACATGGACAACCATCTATGGAACACTTACCAGCTCTACATCCAAGACCCTACCATTACTCCTTTTAAAATGACTCCGGGCAGCATTCCGCCGCTTGGGGTCACTCACCGTGTTGCCCGGGAGGCCAAGCGGACGTGGGAGAGAAGGCGCTTTAGACTCGACCGACAGTTTCCTTTTACACTCTCCTACCAACGTCCATCTAGCGACTCTACTCCCACCCCCAAGGTGGATGCGGTGAAGCCTACCTGGCCTAAGTCAGAAGCATCGACACGGCGCAGGCTCAAACTACTGTGTAGAAAGAAGTTTTCGATTGCTCCCCACTACCAGAGAATGATGCAATCCAGGAGCCCGACGCCAGCCCTGGACTTGTTGTCCCAGCCATCTGGTGAACCCCCCAGGGCTGTCGGTCCTCCCAGTAGCTGCACAGCCTATGCGACGCGCGACCTGGGTGTGTCTCTCGTTTCCAGCTCTGTACCTGGGCCTTTGGCTCAGCTGGCAGCGGAAGACTCTTCGCCTCGAGAGATGAACAGCGACTGGTTCAATAATCCCATACTTAGTGCGCCTCGGCAATTCATCCCGGAGCTACCTGCAATACATCCTGGTAGTGCCCCTAGACAAGAGCCCGTGCCACGGCTAGGATCGCCATTTACGTATAACACCTGGGGGCCCAATGCCTCGAGAAAGCGATCTCAGCGTCATACACCTAGGGCTCGGCGAGAAACCATCCATGTAACGGGCTCCCGGCTACGTTCTCCGCCCCGCATGGAGCCATTCGCGAACGTCGACCATCACCACCTGGCTCCTTACGTGGCAACTGCCAGCGAATCGCCAGCAGAACAAGATACGCGGGTGCAATTAGAAGACCTTGTCCGCCAGGGAAAGCTAAGTGACTTAGGTCAGCATCGCATACGCATTCGCAACCGTGGAGCCACGATAAGTTCAGTGAACCACAAAGGTCTCGACCAGTTGTTCTCCCCACCATCGTCGTCCTCTCGGAACGACGAAGATCCCATGGTCGGAAAGCCCATCGCCAATCCTATGCTGAATCTCGGTGGCGACAGTATCAAGCGCTTGGGCTCCCCTTTCAAGGTAGAAACGCCCAAACGAGTTCCGCCGTCACCGAGACGCATTCGACACGCGCCTTCGCTTTCGGATCCGTTCGCAAGCGGGCTTTTACCACAATTCCAGCCGACGAGTCCGAACAGTCAACCGAGGAACGAAGAAAGGACTAGTCGGCTCCCTTACGATCCGACGGAGCAAGGCATCTCCGATGCGGAGCGCATTCGGAGGCAAATCCTGAATATGCCGTACTCGAGGCAATAGATTGCATACTGCATTGTTAGAACTCTGTTTCACCTTGTGTCAACGTCACATCGATCTATTACACTAATGACCGGGATGATTTACCGTGATCTTGATCGCATTTTGATCAAAGGATATAATGACAGAAACGGCATTCACGAATTGATGACTTTTTAGCCCTTGCTTCTCTCGCGCTGAGCCATTGCATTTGTTGAGGAGCAACATTGCATGGTAGACGCAAGAGAACAGGCCACAATAACGAAAAACAAAAAAAAGTGGTTTGAAGTTACTTCTACATGCATACATTGCTTTCTCAGCGGTTCAGGTGTACACCACGGTGCTCAAAGGTGTACAAGCCAATTTTCCAACCGCGACCCATTTAACCGGACTGGACCGTCGTTTATTACGCAGTGTTCTTGTTCTCCTCTCTACTCTTGACCCATACAGCATGATCGTTGGAACGCTCTCCGGGGCATTTTAGAAAACCGCAAACGACAAAAAGACCTCCCCTGTCAGGGGAGTGTTTCGCAGGCACGTTGATGGTCATTACACTCTCTGATTTTCCTTATCTTCTATCTCAACATACCGAACTCCATACACTCTTTGAACAAACATCGACAGTATCACAAACATTGCCAGAAACACCGAAAATCGAAAAATTTACAAAACAAATCAACTCTGGCAACCCACTATCTTTCAATCTCTTTTCCATCTCTTTATCTCGTTCTCATATCTTCCCACCGAATTTGAATACTCAACATAACCGTGCGATCCGTCTTTGATCTTGATGAACCTTTCGCATGCCCCTTTAGCATGCGCAGTGATGATTGGAATGGAGAGACGCCGATATTGAATGAATGACTCATAGATGAAACGAATCCGCACGACTTGGCAGCTGCTTAGTGACGACGTCTTATGGAAAGCGCCCCATTGTCTTTGCAGCGTTTAGCTTACAGTTTCAGCCTTGCTTTAACTGACAATTTTTTTTCGAACTTGCTTCATGTTCGTCCTACTTTACTGACTGACCATTACTTACACTGTTGTCTGTCTATCTGTTTAGCATGTCTTGCTCCAGTCAAGCATGTTTTTATTGGCTTTCAACTTGTCTACATCTCTCATTATGTCTCTTACTATCTCTATTTCTTCCCAAGAATACATTTCTTCTTTCTTTAACAATATGTAAAACTATTGACTGTGGTTGCATTGTAGCTCGGCTGTTTAGTATAGCATTTTCAATCGATCTTGAACAATAGCTCATTATGGATATGGATAATGGTATTGAAGCAATCATAATAAGCAGAACTGGTATGATCCAATGAGTCCGAGTGAACGAAACAATACTCGCCTAGAGCATACATACCATACCACCTAATCCCATCAGCAACTGCCTATACTCTAGACATGCTAGCATTCTCTACAATATCATATCTTCGTATCCATCTTTATCACAAGACTATCCTTCGTCCCTGTAACAACTCATTCTGGTCTAATCGCTCCGTAAAACCGCTGCCAGGACTTCATCTCAGATAAGATGAACTTAACCCTAACTCAAGAAACTCTCAAAATATTAGGACAAACTACCGTGTTTAATGTGCTTTGTATGTGGGTACAGTATGTATTCAGACCAACGTCCAGTATAATATAGTAACAGACAATAAGAACAAGGAAATAAGTACACATGTGTGATTGTGAAACAACAACCCAAACGCCAACGCTGCGACTAACACAAGAAAAAGAAAAAAAAAAGACAAGAGGGGGTATAAAGTGCGTACGTACGTGTCACGTGCATCGTCGAAAAGGGGATGATGGATTATTAGTGAAAGGACAAAGGGGGTGGGGGTGGGAGTTGTAAGGGGAACAGTGATAAAGAAGCATTTAGATTAACACTTCTCCAAGCGCTTCCTCCTCTCCGCATAAATAGCCTCTAATTTCCGGATTTGCAATCCAAGGCCCTTCTTCTCTGCATTAGCGAAGAGCCAAGCTTCCATCCTCTCGCGGAGATGTCTCATAGAGTTCGTCACGGGGAGGATAGGTCCGTCCTCACTGGCCATAGCGGCAGGATTCTGGCCTGCGCGTTCCAGCTGAGCCCATCTCTCTTCGCCGGGGTTGAGGAGGAGGTCGAAGACGTCGTTCCAGATGTCGCGCTCCCAGTAGCGTTTCAGAGACTCGCGGATTCGGTATGTCTTTGTCTCCGGGGTATTGCCGCTGGGGATGGACTCGAGGTACTTTCCGAAGAGCATGACGTGGATAGTGCCTGCTAAGCCGTAAAGATCGATTTGATGCGTCCAGGGTCGCTTCTCGCGGATTTCGTTGCACTCGTGCTTGCCGGTCTCCCAGTCGGCGACGAATTGGACGGATGGTTGGAAGGCTTGCATGTCGATACTGCGGCCGAAGTCGATCAGTGAGAGACCCTTGTTGCGCCAGCCGTGGAGGCCCCGGGGAGAGTAGTGAATTTCGCGTGGGTCTGCGGTGATCTCGTCGCCTAGGTCGATCAGGGAGGGCGGCGGGACGGGCTTGTCGTCGAGGCGGACGAGGCAGTTGTCGGCTTTGATATCACCATGTAAGATGCCACAGGAGTGAAGGGATTCGACGGTACGGAAGAGCTCTACTGTGAAGAACATGGCCAGGACCTCGTCTATTCCGCCTTCAGCGTTGGTGGTGGCTGAGATCGGCTCGTTACGGATGAGGTTCACTAGATCGAGTAGTGTTCCTTGTCCACGGTAATCTTCGACCAGGATGCTTTCTCCTTTGTAGACGTGAAGCTCGTGTGCGCGGATGATACTTTCAGTGGCGCGGGAGTATTCGGGATGCTGGCTCAATCGTTCGTTTGCCGTGCGGATCATGTAGAACTCCCACTCACTGGGTGGTCCTACCTCCAGCTTGATCGCTTCGAAGCCGTGACGGGGTGTGTCATATCGAATGGGACTAGGGTTGTGGGAATCTCTGTTGTTGGAGTCGGTTTCCGAGTCGGAAGGTAGACTGTCGATGCTCTCTGCAAAATAGACCGGCGCATAAGCACCGGCACCGAGCTCACGCCTGATGATATAGCTTCTCTCAGCACCTGGAAGTTCAAGGATGGGAATATCGAAAGATGCCTCATCCCCGCTTCTTGAACGCTTTGGGCTTGTCTTGAGGTATCGCTGTATCTCAGAGCCATAGTGAGTGTCCATGTCCGGGTGGCCGTGATAGCCAGGGTACGATGCCAGCGGAGGCTGCAATGACCGAAGAATCGTGTTACGAATATCCCTGTCAGTGGGGTTGCACAGCTCTTCCTTGATAACTACTCCTGTCTGAGTGATTTCCTTCAGAGGGCTCAATTTGAAGCTTGTTCGAAACTTCTCCATCGTGGGGCTCAGAGCAACGTCTTCAGGAATATCAGGGAAGTCATCGTGGTGAGGTGTGGCAGGAAGCAATGGGCTCGACAACAAGAGATTGCCCATCGGGGGCTTCGACGGCGTCTTCGCGTTATAGAGGCTGTTTCTCGCTGCTGTCATTGACAAAGAATGTTCGGTCTGTTCAACGATTGGTGTCATGAAAGGCAGGCGATTCTGAGCCATGATTGCGGGGTCTCGATAAGGGCCATATGGTGGATTGTAATCTTCAGGCATTTGGGGGACAAATCGCTGCCTCTCACCATTTTCATCTGCATCATCGAATTGCTCCGTGTTATCCTCCCGGTCATGGTATGTGGAGTCCTCGGGCATGGCAGGTGAATGAGCAGCGCCCAGATCCGGCACATCACAGGCCGAGAACTGCGTCCACTCTCCATCTGCCACACTCTCAGCGCGAGTGTTATCTTCGAACCCATCCTCGTCACCTTCGACAAACGACTTATGAAAGGTTGTATCATCATCGCCGAAGTCGCTTGATGCAGCAGACATGCGACCAGTGACCGTGCTCTCTCCAGCGCTCGTATAATCATCGTCATCGAAGTCACTACTCTCTGCATTCTCAGTCTCTGCTTTGAGTGGCTGATTAAAGATGCTATAGATCTCGTCTGTTGCAGCGCGGGTGTGGATAGTCATGGTTGGCTCCGCAGTGCTCTTGCGGCGAATCTTGCCTCCAGTGGGCGAATCAAATTTCATTTTGACTTCAATTGGATTAGTACACAAGACAATGAATGAAAAGAGCATTAAGTACGAAATGAGTCGAAGTAGATACTTACTCGTCTGTGTCTCTCCCTTCACTTCACGAAGCTTCAACTTCCGCGCTTTGCTGGTTCTGCTCTCCTGGGCCGAATTTCCCCGTTCGGGGTCGTGAGTCTCTGCATCTTTGACAGTCAACTTCTGCTTAAATTGTTGTGGCAGGTCATTCTCAAGGCCATGCTCAAGAGGATTCTCGGAGGGAATCTCCGTAGAAGCAGCATTGCCTGAGATCTGCTTGAGGGGCTCTTTTTGGGCCCGCCAGTTCTTGCCCATCCATCCCCGGCTGATGGCTCTAAGTTCCTCGAAGCTCACTTCATGATTCGGATTCTTGTAGTCTGGGTATACTGCTTCAAGGTTGACGAAGACGCGCTCCCGTCTCCCTGTACGTGGGTTAACCGCTTCCCTTACGCGATGCTCTGGAACATGTTTCGATTGCAATGCTTCTTTTGCTTGTAAATTTGAATTTGACTGAATACATAAATCGTAAACCAATGCGGTTCATGCCACCAATTAGTCCTGTGATCGTAAATATACGGAAATCAGAAAGAGTAGGTAAAATAACCTGAACTTACCTCATCCCTGAAAATCGTCATCTTCTGTGCCGGTGCCGGCTTCTTCCCCGCCTTCAAAGTCTCTCCTGCCCATGGCTTTGCCTCAACCTTGTTCTCCTTCCGTCGGTCATGCAACGATCCAATGCTGTCCCACCCTTGTGCCGGCGCGCTGACAGCTGGTTGGCTGGATGAATCGGCATCGGAAAAGATCGCCATCTTCGGCTTGCCGGATTTCGTCTTCGGGGCAGCGCTGCGCGCGGGTGCTGGGCGCTGGGCCTGGGGATCGGCTTCTTCCGCAGAAGTCGAAGCGAAGGGGTCGACCTTGGCAGCCAATGCTGGGCGCACAGCCGGTAGTGC